TTTTTTTTTTTTTTTTTTTTTTTTAATGTGTTGATATGATTTATAATTCGACAAATTTTGATTATCTAATCTAAACCACAAAAGTCGGGTTGAATTATATTTATTTTAATTGAATTAAAATTTTAAAAAATTAACAAAATTTCGTTCGATTTATTTGACAATTTATTCATGTGATTAATATATTCAATATAATATATTAGGTCTGTTCAGATGACTCTAGAAGTTGACTAACTTGGACTACGATGCGTTTGGTTGACATTCATTTTTGTTGGATCAACCAGACCAACTGAAAAAATATGATTACAATCCAACCTAACCATTATTATTGTGAATATTAACAATATTTGACATTTGTAACTGAGGTTAGTGATGCGTTGTAACTTGTAAATGTTTGATATTTGAATTTTATAATATTTTAATTATTAATAATAAGGATGACAGGAACCCTAACTATTTCAAGGTTAGGTTGGGTTGCAAACTCTATATGGTTCGACTCAAAAGACTTCCCAACCCTATAATATATCAGTGGTGTAATGCAACCATTCATAGAGTTGGAGTAATATTATAAAGTATATTATTAATATGTTGATAATAGAGTGTATCAATAGAACACTATATTAGTAACATATTTGCAGCATTATATACGAGTAGTTTCGTTTTCGGCTAGTTTGAACTTTTTATCTTTATTGTTTGGGTTGAGGTTAGGATTAGATTTGCAAATCGGTATCGGGATAATTTTCAGATTCGACTCTGGCGACTCCGATTGCCGGTTGCATTTGAAGAACCCTCTAGGGTTTACATTCAGGTTCGCATTCTTTGCACAATCTCGATTTGGTAGCTTATCAAGTCTCAAGAAATTGCAGCTAAAGGCCGATTTTCTTGGCTGCATTTTAACTTCATCTGTTGTTCGTTCATGGTTCCCATTTTCTGGGAAATTGAGTGATATTATTTTTAAAGCGTGTTCTTGAATTCAGTTAATGTCGGGAGTTTGGGGTCTTTCTTGTGCCTGGTCTGTTCGGTGTAAGAAGTCATCTCGAATCTTTATAGTCATTGCATAGATTTATGACCAAATTGATATCAGTTTCGTGTAAGACCCTAAATGACCCAACAAATTGATATGCATTGCAAATATATTGAAAAATTTTATAGGAAGAAAAACTACCTGACAGGAAATGACCAACAAATTGCACAATGTTCATAAATTCTTTTAGATTCCATGCACTCTCCCAAGTAAAAGTGAGGAGCTGAATTCTCGGTCATTCTTCAGAACTCTCATTTTCTCTCGAGGGGGAGGGCGGTGTTATAAATGAAGCATCAATATCTTTATTAGTTCTGAGTCTAGAAGAACCTTATCCTATTTAATTGTCTTTACTATCTTTAATACTCTGTGTTTGTATCTTTTTGGAATTTATTTTCGATCATCGTTAAGTGTCTGTACGTTGTTGGATCTTTTCTATGATTTTTCCTCAGATTTCTTGCCTGGCCGTATTCAAAATGGGTAAGAATCAATCATACAAAGCGATGCAGAAAGCCAGGCTGGGATCCTCAAGTTCGGCTGGGCCGGTTGAAATTGAAGATGGAATGGTTTGTACCCTTCCACACTACTACCCCTGCTAAGTCACTTTCCTTGAGACCGTCATAATTGAAAAATCACTCTAGTGATGTTCAATTTTATACTGACTCGATCGGTGGCATTTTCATGCTAGGGAAGTTTATAATCAGTCAATTTTATTTACTCTGCTTTAGTAGATTCAATGGGTCTCTTAATGTAATAAAATGTCAGTTTAGCTGTAGATTCATGATAAGTTGACTAAGGTTTAAGTTTACTTGATTGTTTGGATTTGTATAATGTTTTATCGTTTAAAAACATATATATCTATTGCATTCTTCTTTATCCTAGGTTCCACAAAACATATAAGTCTCGCAGCGAATAGAAGAATATTTTGAGAAGGTGACATTTTGTGGTTTCTTTGTTGTAGTATTGATTAATATTTTCTTGGGGCACCGGGGGGGTTCTTAATCTTCTAAATCAGCGCCGGGTGTCGTTCCCCACCCTCCCCGGCATTTCTGTTGCATCACTTTCTTGTTTTCGATATCGTGACTGTAAAGTCTGACAGTTTATTGGGAAGGATTGTTTTTCTCAAATCCTTTGTTATCATTATTATATTCATTTTGAGTTCATACTTTACTTTATCTAGCTTTAGTTTTTTTTAAACATCTGTATCCTTTGCATTCGGTGCCATTGGAATCTAGTCGCTACTTCTCTTGTATTGAAAATTCTAAAGAAACAAGAAGCTCTTTTCGGTAACGAAACTTAATGATGCCTTGATTTAAGTGATATATTGGCTTGAGTTATGCAATTTCCGTTTAGAAATAGCATAGTAATCTTGCATAAGAATAAGAATAAATAGTTATTTTCCCTTTATGAATCATCTATAAAGTAGTCTGACTCTGTCACTGCTTGGATGTTCATTTTGATGGCTATATGATCTGTTGGAGAGCAAATCCAAGTTAGCCCTGGATAATTGGTTGATGAGAGGCCTTTTATTAATGAAGTAAGATTTTTTATTTATTTATATTTTCTTTGTACATTAGTTGAAATTCTGATGCTAAATTATTTATCAGTATATTAGGGATATTATCTTCTCCTTTATTGTTATTGATGAGGACTGTCTCAGGTGGATGGTTCATTTCATTCACCAGAGTGGCATGCTGCTCGTTTGGCCAGCCTTGATACGTCTCACACGATTACCTGGGATGAATATAAGAAGAAGCAAAAGGTAAGTTTCCGTGGATTAAATTTCGCAATTCTTTCCGAATGTATTAGCGTCTAAATTTGGTTGTCTTAACTTCATTTATCCTTGTGAATGCTTTGCCCAATTTTATGTAATAACGTACGAGGATTATACACACCCACCATGACGATATTATATTGATGTCTTGTCAATATATAACCAGCACATTCTTTTTCTTATCACTAATAAAGTTGTTCATCATTATTCTTTCACTGGCACATAAGGAATCACTTATGATTACATTAAGAATGACAGTTTTGCTTCTCCACAGACAACTGTTCGGTGTCGTATCTTTTCATTTCTGCCTGAATTTAACATCATGGGGAATTGTTTGTTGCCATGATTATTAACTAGTTTACCTTACATCTTCATGGAGCGTTTGGTGCTACAGGAAGATGAGTTGAAAAAGGGAGAGCTAGAAGCAGATACAGATAGAATGATGAAAGAATATCGAGCACAATTGGAAGCTGAGCGGGCACGTAAACTTGCTCAGGGAAGAAATTGTTCTAGTAGCAAGAGTGGTCATGAAAAGGGTACGTTGATGAATTTTGATATTAATTAGATACATGACATCTTCTAAAGTGATTAGCATTACAGAAAGGAAGAACAGAGATTTAAAGAAGCGGAGCAAAAAAAGGAGAAAGGTGCTGACATTTTCCAACTCTTATACTGCCCCATTCAGCTATATTGCTTTTTGATATTGTTTGCTTCATTTGAGCTGAAAAATGTTGCTGAACTTGTTGACACGCCACTGAAGTTACTATGGTCATATCGATAGCATCGAAGCATTCTCATGTTGACCATCTTATATGCTTCGTTTTTTAGAAACCGAAAATTATGTAAAAAATAGTCCATTTTACTTTTTCTGTCATAGCATTCGAGGAGGAAATCATCCGAGTCTAGCTCCTCAAGTTCACCTTCGGATTCATCCAGCAGCGACGAAGAAGAAATAGAATCTAGAAGATCCAGATCCAGATCAAAGAGATCGAAGAAGGAAAAGAAGCACAAGTGTAGAACCAAGCACTCTTCAAGCAACGATGAAGAGGCTGATGGCCCCGTGCCACTTTCAAGATTCTTTGAGAAAGTGAAGAATTAAAGGGGCATTTGTTCTGTAATGTTTATAGAATTTCTAGTCTTGAAATGGCGTATTCGATCCTCGCCTTCTTTTTCTTCTAAATTTGCATTCAAGTATTGTTGTTTCGACTATTGGCTTTCTAGAGTAGGAGCGGTCTATGTCGTAGAAGATCGGATCAATGGTCGTAGGAGATCGGATCAATGGGATGAAGCGAATCATTTAACAACCAGGTGATCAAAACTGCAAATATTCAATACAGAGAGTAACAACCAGTCTGTTCCATTGTCCTTTAGGATAATGCATGCGAAGGGAAGAAAAAATTGAATGGTGTCGATTAGAAGGCAAGTTTTATTGTATGTAAGCAAGAAAAAGGTTTTCAAAATAATTTAAATCCATGAACGACAGCTTTTATTGTAGCTCAAATTCTGATTTGAAAAATACATATAATAATGTGCAACATATAAAGAGTAAAAAAAATATAAAAATTCCAAATTATTTATTTGGACCTTCTTTCATTCATTCGTAACGCGTGGGATTTGTCGTAAGGGAGAGGGCGATCAATTGGGTTAAAAACTTATTTGAATTTGGTTTAGTTCAAATAAATAAAAAGTTATGAAGGTAGTTTCGTGAGTTGTTCGATTAAACTAATAAAATTTAATTATTAATTTAAAAATATACAGTTTTATTACCATACAATTATTTGTTTTATTTATAATTAATTTTGTAACTTTTTTTTTTTATCATAGACAACCCTTAGAAAATAAATTTTAAATATTTGGATGGTTATTTTTTAAAATATATATTAAAATTAAGTTATTAAAAATAAATAAATATATATTTTACAACATAATATTTTACTTTTATTAAAAATAAAAATTTAAATAAATGATCTATCCAATTTAAATTAACCCAAAAAAATAATATTGATGTATTGAGTTCATTATTTAATACAATTATTTTGATAAAAAAATTTAATATTCAAACAATTGAATTGGGTCTACACAAAGTTCTCGTCTTTTTAACAAAAATATAATTGCTGTTGAAAGTTTATTTTTAAACAAATTAAGAATTGGAGGATAGAAAACGAACCTAAAGCTAAGTCTTGTCATGAACAGTTTATTAATTGATAGCACATAATGTGTGGATCAAAATTTTGACAAAGACATTTCAAATTTTCGAATCTTAAAATTCATGATTTTTTTGTTCTTACACTTAAAATTTCGAATATTGTCTTTTTAACATTTAACAAATATATAAAATATATTTTTATTGTTATACTATATTATACCCATAAAATAATTACCTTTTCTAATATAATTTCTATTAAAAAATATAAAAAAAACGTCATAATAAATAAATAAATATTTCTAAAAATTTAAATTTTATTTTAAATATATATATTCCTTTATTTATTAACTAATAAATATAATTGAGTGGAGTGGGAATGTGGCATATTTGTAGATAATTTATGAGATTAAAATATACGATTTTCGTCAATTTTTTTTATAAAGTTATGATTATTTTTTTTAATATAATATTAGCGTAAATGTATTACTTAAAAAAAAAAAAAAAAAAAAAAAAAAAAAAAAAATCTCGAATGGAAACATCGTAAAAGGCTGTCAATGTGAGCTTGAGGCGAACATTTCTGATAGAGAATAGAGTGGAGGAGGAGAGCGCGTGAGTAGATCCTTCCAGCCAATGGCTTCCGCTTCTATGATCAACTCCCTGATTTTCACTCTCTGCAACTCCGGCGCCAAATCAGACGTCTTCTTCTTGAATTCTTCGGCGAATTCTAGATGCCAAACTCTGGGACGCATTTCATCTCTTAAGTCCAAGAAGAACAATTTGTATGGGGCAGTCTCTTCGTCTTCTGTCTCTGTTGTTTGTAAGGCGGTGTCTGTTAAACCGCAGACTGAGATTGAAGGCCTCAACATCGCCGAAGATGTAACTCAGGTAAAGATGATGGTTAATGGACCACCCGCCCTTTTATTTACCTTGCCATTGAGTTGTTAGGTTTCTTGATTGCATGGCTAAATTAAATCTAATCTCATGCTTATGTTATTCTCATTTTGTTGAACTATGCCTCGACAAGTTTTCTCAGAACTCAGTTTTTTCGTTTCTTGCAATTTTGTATAACATGCTCGCGCCTAGGAGTTGGCTTGGTCTGCATCATGCTGAAAACTGATTATATTTTAGATATCCAAAACTTTTTATGTGGTGCACTGATGTAGCGTTATAGTTGTGGATACCGTTTCAGATTGAAACGATAACATCCTCCATTACGGTGATTTTGGTGCCATACCGATAGTTTTATCATTTTCTCTTTTCTAATTTAAGTAGAAAGGAACTCTTTGAATTTTATAGAATGTGTTGTACTGATCTTCGTGGATTGCTGTTAAGTCAATAGTAAGCAGTCTTCTCTGATATACTAAGTGATAAACCAACTGGGTTGGCATTTCCCCCCTGATTTTTTGGGGATCATGAAGCAATCAGACTTCAGCCACTGAATGAATCATGTTAGGACTGTCTAGGAACAACTGTCTTTCAGGATTTAAGATAGTAAATAAAATCCATCTGGTCAATCTGTTCCCTTATATTGTTTGAATAGATTGAGCTTCACCCCATGTCTCTTTACATTAAAAATTCATTTCTCTGTGATGCAGCTGATAGGTAAGACTCCCATGGTCTACCTGAACAATATCGTCAAGGGATCTGTGGCCAACATTGCCGCTAAGCTTGAAATAATGGAGCCATGTTGTAGTGTCAAAGACAGGTGAGAAAAATAGCAGGAGGAAGTCAAGTGGTGAATTGTTGTATGACATACTGTATTTCTCTGTAGGCCAACTATTGAGCAGGATGATTACATGTCTTTGTAAATGGATTATCTCGTGAAGCTAAGCTAATATGATCATGCGAGCCATACTGTTTATACTTATCAGTGAATGGTTGCATCTTCTCATCATCTGTACTAATAAATGTCTTCAGGATTGGTAATAGCATGATATCTGATGCTGAGCAGAAAGGACTCATTACACCAGGAAAGGTAGTATATATGAGATGTAATTTTCGTGTTTCTTGAAAATTATGTTTCGTTACATTTGTTATTTGGATAAAAATGTATTATTGAATAAACTATATTATATATCCTTTTCTTCACATGCATTTGTAGTTTTTAACCTATTTTCAGACCACATTTTACACCACAACAGTAACTGAAAATATGACTACAGTATTCTTCAGCAGCTTGTCTTAGAATTAGGACTGAATTTTTTTAATGACCTGTCTGAGTGTCATGTATACTTAAGAATATGGATCTTCTCATGATTATTTAAAAAATTTGAACTGCACTTCTCATTTGAGATACTTCTATCAACAAAGAGAACTTGCACAGTAACATATCAAAACTGCTGATAAGTGATGACATCTTTATATAATTGCCTATCTCCCATCATAATCGTGATCTTAATTATTATTATTATTTTTTTTTTTTGGAATTGAAGCATTTACATAGTAATATTATCAAGAAACCCTGAATTGGGTTTTCAGTAAAAAGAAAAAAGAAATAAAAAAAAGAAAGAAAGAAAGAAAGAAAGAAATAAAGAAAAAAGGGCTCTATTGGACTTAAGAGCATGCAAAATTCACTGATAGCATCGCCTAGTTGTAAACCTTCATTGACAGGGATCTTGCACTAATTTTTTTCAGAACTTGGAAACACATACCTAAATATTTCCAATTTTAGGTTGATGTAAGTGCAAAATCTTCTTCTCTGGCCCAGATACTCAATAACATGTTTCTCTTGTGTATTTTCAGAGTATCTTGGTTGAGCCTACCAGTGGAAACACAGGAATTGGTCTTGCATTTATTGCTGCTTCAAAGGGATACAAACTAATATTAACAATGCCATCATCGATGAGTATGGAGAGGAGAGTTCTTTTAAAGGCATTTGGAGCTGAACTTGTATTAACTGATCCAGCAAAAGGCATGAAGGGAGCAGTTCAGAAAGCTGAAGAGATTTTAAAAAAGACACCTAATTCTTACATGCTTCAACAATTTGACAATCCTGCCAACCCTAAGGTATGAAGTTTAAAGTCTTACGTAAACAGACCTTGATCTTCCTGGTTATTTAAATTTAAGACCAAGTAGAATTAAATAAAGTTCGCTATTTATTTGGTTTTTACTCCATTGGATCACTGTGGACCAAGAAAATATATCTGTAGTAATGGGGCCACAATTTTCTTCCTCTATGCTTACTGGGAAGCATGGACATTTAAGTTTGGGTAACATGTCTGACACACTGGACAGTTTCATTCACCAACAATTGTGCTTGTTAAGCCTAGTGGCTACAAGTTGAACACGTTTCAAAATAATCACATACATGCAAAATATTTGTTTAGCATAATAAATATGCGGTCGCACACTTGTAAGTGTACAATTAATTGTTCAACACTAGAGCTAAAGTGTTTGAATATTTATTTATTTATTAAAAATGGACAGAAAATGAAGTATACGAGGAGAATTATAAATTTTGATACTGAAAAATATATAATAGATTTTTTGAGCTCATAAACTCATAGCTTTATAAAACTTAATTTTGCATTTGCTTATTTCTAAGTTTGCGAAATCATAAATATTGAGGTCTGATTTTGTTGCCACGGATAGCCTTGAATGAAGTATAAACTTGAACTTGCAGGTACACTATGAGACAACCGGCCCGGAGATATGGGAAGACACTAGTGGCAAGGTGGATATTTTTGTTGCAGGAATTGGAACAGGTGGAACAATTTCTGGTGTTGGCCGGTTTCTGAAACAGAAAAATCCAAAAATTAAGGTAACACTAGTTTTTAGGTACTTAGCTACCTCCTAGTAGCATTGTATTTATTTCATTTAAATTTGAATTTGTTGAACAGTAAGGTGTAAGTTAGAGCATGAGCCTACGTCTAACACATAACAACAAAAACTAAAGTTCGGGGGGGGGGGGGGGGGGGGGNNGGGGGGGTGTCAAAGTCTTCTCTCAAAGGCTCATCTTCTTCTTCTTCTTTTTACTATAATTTAAAAAAAAATATTCCTAGCTATTGAAGTTTAACAGCTTTTCTTTGGTCCCATTCTATAGGTTATTGGTATTGAACCTACAGAAAGTAACATACTTTCTGGAGGAAAGCCTGGTAAGTTAAAACCATTTAACTTTTACTGATTATTATGTGCTCTTTATTTATTTTTTTATACACACTAAATAACGGTGTCCATTATATTATTATGGAAATGCAGGACCTCACAAAATTCAGGGAATTGGAGCTGGTTTTGTACCCAAGAATTTGGACGAAGGTGTCGTTGATGAAATCATACAGGTCCATCCCTACCCAATTTTCCCAATCATGCGTTCAATCAAGCATTTCTCTTCTAATCAAGTATCTTTGTGGGGATTGAAATGTTTCATGAATCAATATTTAGTTCTTCATTGTCAGCAACATACAACCTTGTGTAAGATTAATTCAAATGAAGAATTAAGGCTCCCTAGCACCCTCCAACCAGGCATGCATGCATGCACGCATGCACACACTTACATAATTTTCCACTAAAATTAATCTGATGTTCATCAAGGCAACACCATGCACTGGAAATTAGTTGGCTGAGATATGCCTTTTTATATTGTTGGCAGGATAAAACGCATCACATACTCTTAAGTCTTATAGGTTTCCCTTTAAAATTCTGACCATTAGTGACTGATGCAGATATCCAGTGAAGAAGCTATTGAGACGGCAAAACAATTAGCACTGCAGGAAGGCTTACTGGTAGGTGTATTCAGTAATATTATAACAGTTAGTACTTAGTTTTTTATTTTTGCTTAAACTGTTTACCACCGTGGAATTTCAATCTAGAACTTGATTTTAAAAAAAAAATCAATCTGAAACAATATGTCAAAACAGAAAATAAGTGCTATATTCAGCTAACTTAACTGTAAAACGTGGGGTTGTTTTTTTAGCCTCGTTCAATATCTTCTGAAGTGTACGTATATTTTCTGACATTATCTCATTGACTTAATATTAGGTGGGCATTTCTTCTGGAGCTGCAGCTGCTGCTGCACTGGAAGTAGGAAAAAGACCGGAGAATGCTGGAAAGCTTATTGCGGTATGCATCTTCTTCTTCTTCCTTTTTCTTTAAGAAATATTATTTAAATAAGCTTGAATGGATTTTCCCCCTTGTATGCTCAGTTAGGATATATCTATATGGAGGAAAAATGAGTAGGATGCTTAATGTTGAAGTTGGTTGAACAAGAGATAAAATATCATGCATTTTCTATCTTTTTGCAGTCAAATTAAGAAAGATATGGGATCTTACATTTTTTTTGACTTAGCATGGCTTATAAGCTTCGATCTTAGCATCTTTTAGGAACCAGAAAGGGCTCTATTATATGCAATACAAGGAAAATTTACATAAGTCTTTGAGCGAAGGGATTTGACCTACAGAAGGGCTTTTTTCTTTCTTAAATAGTTGATTATAGGAAGGAGGAAAGCCTTTTGAAGTATGACACTAGGGGATGAACTCCACGAGTATCTTAAAAGATGCCTATTGCTAGCACGAATAGAAAGGCTCGTTTCAATTAATATAATTTTGGGGTAAATTTAAGATAGAGCCCTGTATTTGACACCATTTCAAATCCAACCTCTGGTTTGAAAATGATTCTTTCACAATGTAGCTTATTCACGCTTCCATTTTCTCATCATCCCTAATGACGTGGCATCCCAAATGAATGACTACGTAATTTGATTTACAGTAAACACAGGTCAATGCATGGTCAACAATAGAGATACCTTTTGCATTACACTGTCGTGGTTCAATTTGTCATTATCCCTATTATATTTTTCGAAAATGTCTCCATTGCCTACTAAAATCTTATTGTATTTTATTTCCTGATTCGTATAATCACAAGTTGAACTTAATTCTCTGGCATCTAATTACTCCCAATATGACTTTTTTCAGGTGGTATTCCCTAGCTTTGGTGAACGATATCTATCCTCGGTCCTTTTCCAATCAATTCGAGAAGAATGTGCAAACATGCAACCTGAGCCATGAAGTACCTATCTATCTTCTAAGGAATTTAAGTGAAAAAAAAATAAGGCTTTAGTGGTTGTCTTTATTTTTTGATAACGTATCACCGCGGTACTTCTCCATTGGATGTGCATAAACGGATGCAATCGCCATCAACTAGTCTCCTTTTTCTCTTTTTCCGTTCCGTTTAAGCCAAGTTATTCATTCCTTTTTCGTTAGTTCTATTGGAGTCTGAGCTTTCGTATGAAAGGTAAAAACCTGAATATAATTTTTCCTTCACCATTATGGATTAATGTATCGTTTATGGGCATAACTTGCAGATAAATAAATTAGACAATGATGGTATTTATTGTCCTCATCTCAGTTGGGCAGGCTGGGAGGTGATATATGCACAATTGCTGCATGGCACTGTCAATTGACCCACTCTGAGAGGTTTGCCAATCATTTTCCTTTCTTTAGGAACTTTATGTATTGCCAAAAGAATACTCTTAATCATAAAAGCCAAGTTTTGGTGCATTCCACTGAGAGACCACCAAGCAGTAGTCAGTCCCATTGGTCAGATGAGTAGGGGATACTGTAGGTGGCAGTAAACTTAGTTCTTGGTTCAATCTTCTCTTACAAAAAGTTTTAAGTAAGAGAATGTTGGGAGGCTGTTGGTATACCATTGGGTTTGAAAATCCGGTTGGTTACTGGTAGCATGGGGTGGGGCTAGAGAAGTCTTAGTTTGTTTTGGTTTATATAAAGATATGAGAGGTAAATATATGTTTGTGAATTTGTGATCTATAAAAGTATGTAATCTTTAGAGAGGTTAGGAGTTCGGAGTTCGGAGTTCACGTGAATTTGTGATCAATAAAAGCATGTGATCTTTAGAGAGGTTAGGAGTTCGAGTGAATTTGTGATCAATAAAAGCATGTAATCTTTAGAGAGGTTAGGAATTCAAGTTAAAGAGACTCTTAGGCTAAGGGCAGTGTTCAGAAAGTTCGTAGTCCAAAACAAAGGAATCTATATTCATATTAAACATAGGCTTACCTTCATAATCGGTAGCGAGACATATCTATCTATCTTCTGTATCAAGTCTAGTAATATTGTCGTAAAAGAGGAGGTCAAGATGATGAGTAATTGTATTCAAGAGCCCTTTTTTAGGCTCACAAATGTGAAGCACATGGAAGCTACGCTACAATTTTAATGGCACGGAAGTTCTTTAATAATGTGAGAAGCAGGCGTTTTAGGCATAATAGCCAAAAGCCACTTCTATTATGTGGGCAGCAATCTTCAAATGCCAGCCAAGAAATCAAGCTTTCAGTTTAGGGAGGACCCAATCCCCAAGGCTCATTGATTATTTATTTTTGTATTTAAGTGAAAGAAAGTGGTTTACGTGGGATTTAAACCAAAAAAAAAAAAAAAAAAAAAAAAGTATTCTTTACACATTATTTAATATCCAAGAAGTTGATTCATGTAAACACAACCGATTTTCGAGAAAGGGTTTTGTTAAGAATAATGTGTGAAATTTATTGTGTCAATTTTGTCATATTAAATTAGATGTAGTGTAACAGATGTTGTCTTTTTTTATGGATTTTCGCTTAGCTTACTTTTTCTCAAGATTTTTAAAACGTTTGTTAGAGAGAGGTGTCTATGCATTCATAAATAATGCTTCTTTTCCTTCTCTAACTGATGATCGGTCTCGTGTGTGTCTCGAAAAATAAAAGAAAAATTAAAATTAAAATTTGAATGGCACGCAAGTTTTGAAAATTTTCAATTGTGGGAATGAAAGGAATAAGCTCTTTTTTAAGTCAACGGAAGAGTCCTTTAGTCTGGAATTCCACATTTCCACCGATGGTTGAAAATCGCGGAATTGCCTTCCCACCGTCGTGAATAGCTTAGGAAGTTTCGCTCATAACCAAATCCCTCTCCCCCTCCACGTTTACCTTCTTCTTTGTTTTTTAATTGTTCTTTTTTTGTTTTTTAAAAAATGGGAGAATTTTAAATTTCTAAATTTTTAAATATATATATATATATATATAAAATTAATTATAAGTTTAGTTTTTGAATTTTTGAATTTCATAAACAATATCATAAACTTGAATATGTTTTAGAACAACATAGCAGCAAATAAATAAGGTTAAATTTAAATAAAAGAAAGTAAAAATAAAACAGTACTTTGATTTAACTTGAGGACTACAAACAACGTGAACGCATCTACCCCATCTTCAGTTCCATGATCGTCGCTGCGACGTTGTTATCCCCACTACTCTGATCAAAATGCAATCACATGTTATCATGTTTGGAACCTAACATTTCATAAAACATCATGACATGGCCTTGGTCTTTACTTCTAGTTTGGACAGAGATGAATTTGTAGTATTTCTCTATACACGGCTCACATACTTGTACATGGACCCCCAAATGAGCTCATATACATATCCTTATACTTGACCTTCGGCTAGCGTACACTCACGCTACTAGAATGCCACAAATAAAGGGAGCGCATATAATATTATGGTGTACGTAATATTGTAGTGTATGTGTCTGTATTAATCATAACAGATAATTATCTCTATTACACATGAACGTACAATATGTATGAGATCTTTATAGCTTAAAATCATGGCATCTATCTATGGGCAAGTTATACCATCATTCATTCCTATGATTCATTCATATGTAACCTAATCATTTCATGACATCTCATAATGTAGCTAATAACATAGTGTAACACTTTCCATAACATAGAACAATTTCATATGGTATAACATGTCAACATGATATTCCATAACATAGTACATCTCATAATTACAACATAACATAATAAATAAACATGAAGCATTCACAAGACACGACACGTGCAAAGGTCATAGGACACTCGTCATTCATACTTCAAATAATTAATCCAACAAAATCAATAATAGAGCCACTTACCTGAACAACTTAAACCGGAGTCACTAATTTATCTTTGGAGCTAGTCAGAATCCGTCTCTTAGAGTCAAAGTCAACCTCAATATAGTTTTAATACATAAATGTATTAATGGACATTTATATATAAAAAATTGCTTCTGTAAGTTCTTGTATTTAATTTTTCTTTATAATAAATCATTTAACTTATTTAATATCTATTCTAAATCAACTAATGAGTTGGGTGGGTGACCTAAGCAATTTCAGTCGAGTTCACACCCCAACCTAACACGTAACTCTATTTCTTTTCAATTCGTTATTTTTTCTTAATGATTAAAATCTCATAAAATTCAAATATCAAACATTTACAAGTCACAACACATAACTAACATTAGTTACAAATATAAAATATTCTTAATTTTGTTAATAGTGTAGATTGTAACCTCATTTTTAAGTTGGTGGAATTGATTTAACAAAAAAAAAAAAAAAAGTCAATTCGCAAATCTAGTCGAATTTTCGATTTTTTAAAAATTAAACCCAATCAATTATGACTGTTACAGATGTACGGGGTCGGGTAATTTCTTGGTCCTTGTTAAGGATATTTAGTAATAAATTATAGTTTACCATATATATTTGATATTTTATTATAAGTCAAATATCTAATATTTGCCTTATTATCATAGGTATCTTTCCATTTATTGTTATTTCCATTTATTACTATTTCCATATCCTTGTAATTTATTTGATTATAAATAAGATAACTTTCACACCAGTTAGGTGTGGTGAATTAATCAAACATTCACAGTGCTCCATGGGTACTTGTGGATTCAAAGGTCCAAGAAGAGGGACATTATTTGCTGCCCAAACTGTAGTAGGAAATGTTATTCGAGCAGTAGTAGCAGATCAAGGTATGCAACGAGCAAAAGTTGTGACAAAGGGCCATAATCTTGGAATAGATACAACGTTAAGAGCTATTTGTAGAAGCTATATACTTTTAAGTTTCATACCAGATGTAACCAAATCGAAAAAAAAAATCTAACCTTAAGAGCTAGTATGGATTGTTTAAACATTTATTAAATAAATATTTTAATAATTTAGATTTTTTTTAAAAAAAGTGTGAGATTGAAAGAGGGAACAATTTTTAACGGTTTAGATGCTTTTAGACAAACCTATCTAATTTAATCTAAAAAGAATAAAATAAATTTACGAAAATAAACAAAAATAAAATAAAATAAAATAAAAGAAAAGAAAGAGCATAATAAATCTTTTTACCGTACAAAATTGTGTCCCTCTCCGAAGGGTTTAATAGTAGCAAGGTGGGACCCACCTTTCTCTCAGCTCCCACGTTCCTTTTTCTCACAATTTCTCTATCTTCTTCAGTTTCCCACTTAACCTCTTCCCGTTTCCCATCTCCATTTATATTCCCCTCATCGCTTCTCGATTTCCATGCCTGATTCCAGATTCCCTCACCGCTTTCCGCCATGGAATCCAAGGAATTCGACCTCTCCTCCTCCTCTTCTCCCGTCTCCGACAGGTAATTAATCAACCTCCATTATCTCCGATCTCTTTTCCTCTGATTCTCTTTCTAAATCTTCATCCTCCTCCCCTCGCTCTGGTTTTTAATTCGCTTTCTTCCGCCGTCTGTTTCCGTGCAGATGGTGGTCCAAGAACACAGTAGCGGTCGTTACCGGAGCCAATAAGGGGATCGGATTTGCCCTAGTTAGACGATTAGCGCAATCGGAACTCACAGTGATATTAACCGCCAGGGATGAAGCAAGAGGACTGCAAGCCGTCGAAACGCTACGAAATGAAGGACTCCACGTTCTGTTCCGCCGCCTCGATGTTTCCGATCCTGTCTCCATCAGCGCCTTCGCGGCCTGGTTCACCGCCAATTTTCAAGCCCTCGACATTCTTGTAAGTCTTAATCTATCGTTCATGAATCTTCCTTTCATTTTCTCAGTCGAATTTCGCACATTCACTTCGTTTGCCTCTGCTGTGCACCTTCCATTCACGCTTCCGCCTCCTGTTTCTTCCTGAACCACTTTGTATTTTTCTTAATTTACGTTTTCAACCCTCAACTTACACGAAATTAGAATTCCGCACAATTCTGGCAGTCCTCTCTCACGTCACGTCACGTCACGTCACGGGTGCAACTAATTCTGTTGTGTCAATCTCTAAACTATAAACAATAATATATAATCAATCATTAAGGCCTTTCTGAAGTAAACATAATTTTTACTTATTGCNATTTTATTTTTAGTTTTTTTTTTTTTTTTTTTTTTTTTTTTTTTTTTTTTTTTTTAATTTTCAGACGTGTTCTAAAATCAATCAATTACTACCATCAGAAATCCACATAACAATTTCAAATTTTAATTTTCATTAAAATGATATTTTAATTTTATATTAATGTAACTTTCAGTCGAAGAATTTTCATAGTTAACTAAGTGTTTATTATGCACTTTTATTTTTGTCTCTTAAAGTCTATGAACCATTTGACCATTTTTAAATTTTCATTATGCGTAATAACTTTATGAATTTTTTTTTTTTTTTAAATGTTAATTTTGTTTTAAGAGACATTTGATGAAAGCTTATATATATATATATATATATATATATATATATATATATATATATATATATATATATATTTGACAACTATTTTAATTTTTTGAAATTTATGATTGTTTACGCTAACTTCTATTTTCACATTTCTTTTAAAAAATTCTAATATTTTTTTAAAAAAATATTTTTCTTATTTTTTTTTTTTATAACGGAAAGTTCATAACAAAATAAATAAAATTATCGGTAAAAACAATATTTTAAAGTTTAATTTTTAAAAATTTTAAAAAATTAAAATGATTATCAAACTAGTCTTTAATAATTTTTAAATACTCTTGAAATTGAAAGCCTGATTTGATTCTATTGTTGTCAAAGCCATGAGAATTTATGGTCAAAGTAGACAATATCATACCATTGTTGAAGAGAGTCATGTTCATTTAACATGGTATTAGAGTCATGCCCTAAGAATTAGTCATGTCAATACAATCCTCAAATGTCGAACAAAGGATTCCAAAAGAAAAAGAGTCAAGGCTCTCAAAGGCATAGTAAAAAATGATTAAGACTCTAAAAGAAAAGGAGTCGAGCCTTGATTGGGGGAGACGTACTTTATTCGAAGGGAGGTGTTGGATGAAAGTCCCACATCCGCTAATTTAGAGAATGATCATGGATTTATAATCAATAAATAGTCTCTCCATTGTTACGAGACCTTTTGTAAACTTACAAAACCATGAAAGTTCATAATCAACCTTGTGAAGAGCGGTGTTCACTGAGATTTGGGTTTTGATTTACAGGTTAATAACGCTGCGGTTTCATTCAACGACATCAACCAGAACTCCGTAGAACACGCGGAAACAGTACTGAAAACCAACTTTTACGGCGCAAAATTACTCACCGAAGCTCTTTTGCCTTACTTTAGCTCTTCTCCTTCCAGGAGCCGAATTCTCAACATCACCTCTAGGCTGGGAACCATCGATGTAAGCCTGAAGAAAATTTCTCAACTCTTTGATTGACATGATTATAGTGTTCATATATATTGAAAATTTTAAAAAATAATAAAAAAATTGCAGAAAGTAAGGAACATTAAAGTGAAAGAGATTCTTCAGAGTAAAGATCTGGCGGAGGAGGACATCCACGGCATTGTGTGTGCCTTTCTGGAGGACGTGCAGAGAGGCACATGGACGAACCAAGGCTGGCCCGCGGTGTGGACGGACTACGCAGTGTCCAAGCTCGCTCTGAACTCTTACACCAGAGTCTTGGCCAACCGATACGGTGCGTTTGGGTCTGTGAGTGTCAACTGCTTTTGCCCAGGCTTCACTCAGACATCCATGACCGGTGGGAAAGGGACTCACACAGCTGACGCCGCCGCTCTCGTCGGAGCTAGGTTGGCCTTGCTTCCGCCTCACCGTTTACCAACTGGCCAGTTCTTCTCGTGGGGGCCTAACTATGTTACACCCAAAAACTCCAAGTTATAGCTAAACCCCCTCTCCATCCACATCGTTTGTATTTTCAAAAATTGCACCGAAATTAATTGCATCTCAAAACGGTGTGATAGTGATCTCAAGATGTAAAGACTTAAATTTTGATTCTAAATTACAGTCCCTCTTAATTACGGTTTAAAATGTTAACCCAATTTGTAGTTTTGAAATGTTTATAATGTTAATAATATAAAAGGGTCTAATAGATTCTTCTGTATTTGTTTATATGATTCTATTGAGTTAAATTAGGGATTTAATTTAAATGATCTAAGAATGTGATTAAGGTGGACTACTTAACTCAGGGTTGGGTTAGATTTTTTTTTTTTTTTTTCAATTTGAGTTAGGTTGAATTTTCAAGAAATTGAATTCGGGTCATTTCGTAGGTTGACATTATTTTGTCGGATCAACTCGACCGACTCTAAATTAGGGTTACAACTCAACCCTTCTTTTAAAATTATTATGAAAATAAAAAATATTAAACATTTGTAATCGATGTTTGTAATGCATTGTAGCTTGTAAATGTTTAATATTTGAGTTTTACGAGATTTGAATTATTAATATAACTTGTAGTAATTTTTTTTTAAATAATTAAAAAAAATAGTCCGACAACACAAACCCATCTCCCATCTCACAGCCTGCATTGTAGATAAGTAGAGTTCAGTCGAGTTGGGTTGGTTTATTTTTAATTTTTTTTTAGAATTTATTAAAATTATTTATTTAAAAATAATTGTTAATATTAATGGCTAAACAAATTCAAAAACCTAAAATTTTATATATACTTATTTGTAAATGAAAATTATATTAAAATATAAAGTATATTAGTTAATTATCTATAATAAATTTTATTTATATGAAATTTGGATAACATTTAGCATACACTAATAAATACCATTATTTGATTCTGGACATATTTTTACGGTTGAAAAAGAAAAATAAAAATAAAAAGAAAAAGAAAAGTCAACTCTCTGCAAACCGTTGAATAATAGAGGTCCATAGAAGAGCCTAAGAACAGGGGAAAGAAAGGTGGCACTTAGATATAAATATTATTGGGTGCGGTGTGAATTACAAAATTAAATAAGATGGGTGATGTCGCTCGTGGCCAATATTTTGGTTCACATGGACCAATCCTTCTAATATTTTAATTATATCTTTATGTTACTCGTATTTCTCATTTAAGTGAAGATTTCTCGCCCCATTTGAGGCGGATATCCGTGGAGTAAATGAATATCTCGAGTTATGGTGATAAGATAAGGAACCACTACAAAGCAAGAACATTGTTTGAGATTCGAATCACTTCATAAGTAAGATCGATCATGTCTAGCTTAAATGATTCTTGTTGATCAAATATCAAAGCAAGAACACTTACTTGAGATTCGAATCACTCCACAAGTAAAATTGATCATGTCGAGCTTGAATGATTCTATATGCAACCTAAACTAAATAAAATTGAAAAGAAACTTAGTCATTGGCTAAAGAAGCATCAAATGCTTCTTTTACTATATTTTCCAAGTCTACTTACAAATACAATATACATGACTTTATATAGCCTAAAAAATGAAACTATTAAAGGCATTCCAAGAATTGTTACATTCATACTTAATGACCATAATTAACCATTATGTAATTGTAACCAAAGTAAATAAAAACTCTTAAAATACATTAATGAAATACAATAACTCTAAATTGTAATTCACCCAAAATTTATCACATGAAACTTCATTCTTCTTCAATGTGGCATGAATTGAAATATCTTTTGATAATTTCAACAATATTTTTTTCACATCTTCATTGAAGCATATTGTCTGATTGATGTCTCTTGGTTCATATCATATGGTCTGTTTGAATTAGTTCAAAACAAGTAAGTAATGTGATTATGTGGCAGGGGATGTAGTGCGTGGTCATCAAGTATCAAAGCCAAGACATGAAACGTTACGTGTAACATCCCAAGCTCATCATGGCTTCAAAACGTATCTACTAGGGAGAAGTTTCCACACTCTTATAAGAAATGTTTTGTTACTCTCGCCAACTAATAAGAGTGAGATCTCACATTTGTTGGAGAGGGGAATGAACATTTTTTTATAAGGCTATGGAAAGCTATCCCTAGAAGATGTGTTTTAAAACTGTAAGGCTGACGACGATACATAACAAGCCAAAACGACAATATCTACTAGTATGGAACTTATACTATCATGCTTTTAAATTTGGTAAATAAATTCAAATTATGCAAATAAACAAACCACTATCCACGTCAGATTTATTGGATGAGCTTAAACAATCTATTTATTTTAGAGATAAGTTCACCTGACAAAGT